CGCGGAGTTTCTCTGCTTGCTGCCGTCGTTTGCCAAGTTTCTCGGTCGTTTGCCGGATTCTGCTGGCGCTTGCCGACTTTTAGTGCCGTTCACCCAAGTATCGGTACCTTTCGCCGAGCATCGCTGCCTTTTGCACAGCTGCTGCCGTTCGCCGAGTATCGCTGCCTTTCGCACAGCTACTGCCGTTCGACGAGTATCGCTGCCTTTCACGCAGCTGCTTCCGTACGCCGAGTGTCGCTACTTTTCTAACAGCTGCTACCCTTCGCGGAGTGTAGCTGCCTTACGCACAGCTTCTGCCGTTCGCGGAGTGTCGCTTCCTTTCGCACAGCTGCTGCCGTTCGAGGAGTATCGCTGCCTTTCGCACAGCTGCTTCCGTTCGCCGAGTGTCGCTTTTTTCGCACAGCTGCTACCGTTCGCGGAGTGTCGCTGCTACCGTTCGCGGAGTGTCGCTGCCTTTCGCAAAGCTTCTGCTGTTCGCGGAGTGTCGCTGCCTTTCGCACAGCTGCTGCCGTTCGCGGAGTGTCGCTTCCTTCGCAGAGCTGCTGCCGTTCGCGGAGTGTCGCTGCTATTCGCACAGCTGCTGCCGTTTGCGGAGTGTCGCTGCCTTTCGCACAGCTGCTGCCGTTCGCGGAGTATCGCTACCTTTCGCGCTGTCGTTAGCAGAGTATCGCTGCCTTTCGCACAACTTCTGCTGTTCGCGGAGTGTCGCTGTCTTCCGCACAACTGCTGCCGTTCGCCGACGCTGTTGTTCGCCGAAATTTTCTACCGTTCACTACGTTTCACTGGTTTCGCCGAATTTCGCTGCCGTTCGCGAGGTTTGCTTCGAGAAATGACGGCACAGCATGGTGGAACGCAGAGCAACAAGAGCAGAACGAATCGAAGGTGGCTGGACTGTGGCAGCAGAACGATCGACCTGAGAGCATCAGTGTGAGGGAGCGGCGACGCGGGTTTGGCCCAGCAGCAACGGGTGTCAACTGCGGGTTGAAGCTGGGTGATATCGGCAGCAACAGTGCAGTTGTGTTCGACTGCACGCGGATTGGAAGCACGCTGACGACAGCAGAACGGATTCGAAGCACACTGACGATAGCAGAGCCCATTCGAAGCGCGATGACGTCAGCAGAGCGGATTCGTAGCACACTGACGACAGCAGATCGCATTCGAAGCGCGATGACGTCAGCAGAGCGGATTCGCAGCACGCTGACGTCAGCAGAGCGGCATGCGAAGCAAGCTGATGACATCAGGGCAGAGCGGCATGCAAAGGTGCGTGTGCGCGCAGGACAAGTGGGGAGGTCGCGTAGGACGTAGGAGTCGTCGCGTAGGTGTCTTGTGTCGTCGATTATGTCTGTTTTCGTGCTGCTCTCACGCGTCTCTGCACTCCCCTGCCGTGTCTGCTCGTGTGCGCTGTGTGTGTGGAGGGAGGGAGGAGGGATGGAGCACGGGGGGTGCAGTCGCAGCGCCAGCAGGAGCACCAGGAGCAAGAGCGACCGAATCAGCAGCGCGAGAGACAGACATCATCGTGGCATGTAAGGGTGCGTACGTACGGAGGGCAAGTGGGGGGGCGCAGAAATAGTCTAGGTCGCCGCGCGGCAAGTCTTTGAATCAATTTTCGTTTCCTTCGAGTCCGGTTCCTATCCTGATTCTGATACACTCTCTTCTGTGCTTGTTCCTGTGCTGTGTTCGCTGCTGTGGTTGGGGGGGCTCCGTGACTGAGAGGCCCACGGACGCGTCGACAGTCCGGCCAAGGCGTGGCGGTCCGGCCAAGGCATGGCGGAGAGCGGCTCTGCCAGTATCCAATCGACTGCTGATGCATCTCGGATTGTGCCTCACCATGACAGCACGGTGAGTGAATTGGGCAAGACAATTGGGGGGGGAGCTTAGCTGTCTAGGTCGCCGTGCGGCAAGTCTTAGAATCAGATTTTGGTTTCTTTAAGTCCGGTTCCTATCCTGATTCTGACACACTCTCTTGTGTGCTTGTTTCTGTGCTGTGTTCGCTGCTCTGGTTGGGGGCTCTTCGTGATTGAGCCCACGGACGCGTCAGCAGTCCGGCCAAGGCGTGGCGGAGAGGCGCTATGCCACTAACCAATCGACAGCTGAGGCGTTTCGGAATCTGCCTTACCATGGCAGACGGTGAGTGAATTGGGCAAGTCTATCGGGGGGGCTAAGAGTTGTCTAGGTCGCCGCGCGGCAAGTCTTAAAATCAAATTTTGCTTTCTTCGAGTCCGTCTCCTCTCATGCTTCTGATACATTCTCTTGTGTGCGTGTTTGTTCCTGTGCTGTGCTGTGTTCGCTGCTCTGGTTGGAGGGCGCCACAGACGCGTCAACTGTCCTGCCAAGGCGTGGCGGTGCATCGAATCCTCGGGAGGGGCTCTCGCAGTAACCATCCGACTTCTGACGCGTCTCGAAATCTGCGTCATCATGGCAGCATGGTGAGTAAATTGGCCAACTCTATTGGGGGGGGAGCATAACTGTCTAGGTCGCCGTGCGGCAAGTTTTAGAATCAGATTTTGCTTTCTGTGAGTCTGGTTCCTCTCATGCTTCTGATACACTTTCTTGTGTGCTTGTTCCTGTGCTGTGTTCGCTGCTGTGGTTGGGGGCCCTTCGTGATTGAGAGGCCCATGGACGCGTCAGCAGTCCGGCCAAGGCGTTGCGGAGAGGCGCTATGCCAGTAACCAATCGACAGCTGATGCGTCTCGGTATCTGCCTCACCATGGCAGCGGGGTGAGTCAATTGGCCGAATCGATCGGGGGGGAGCATAGCTGTCTAGGTCGCCGTGCGGCAAGTCTCAGACCAAGTTTCCGATTCGATTCTTTCCGAGTCTGTTTCCACTGCTGCTTCTCACGCGCACCCTCCTCCTCTGTGCTCGTTTCTGTGCCGTGTTTTCTTCTGTGGATTCGGCCCGGAAGGACGCCTCTGTATGTGAGAGGCATTGACCATGTGCGGTGCGTCCTAGGGAGGTGCTGTGCGAATACGGATCCGCCTTCTGAGCCGTCTCAGAATCTGCCTCACCATGGCTGTGCGGTAAGTGGTTGGGCGGGTTTGTTAGGGGGGCAGAAGTGTCTAGGTCGCCGTGCGGCAAGTGTCTTCGAAGCAGTTTCTGTTTCTTTCGAGTCTGTTTCCTTTGTTGCTTTTGACGCACTCTCGTCTATGCTTGTTTTTCTGCTGTGCTGGCTGCACTGGTTCGAGTGTTCTGTGTGTGGGATGGGCCAGGATAGGAGCGAATCAGGGTCAGGCGAACGACTTCCGAGCAGCAGCAGCAGCAGAAGCAGCAGCAGCAGCAGCAGCAGCTTTTTCAAGGAGAAGGGGAGAGCGGAGAGGGGGGAGAGAAGCTGTGTTACTGTGCAGTACAGTAAGCTGTTGACCACATCTTTCGGGGGGTAAGAAGGGCTGACTAGGTCGCCACGCGGCAAGTCTTAGGAATGATTTTTGTTTATTTCAAGTCTGTTTCCCCTGCTGCTTCTCACGCACTCTTCTCTGTGCTCGTTTCTGTGCTGTGTTCGCTGTTGTGGCGCCGGTGCCTGCTGTCCTGTGACCCAAGGCTTGGTGCAACAGCAGCAGTCATGCAAGGGGAGGTGCTGCTTCTCACAAAGATGTGCTCTGAGCGAGCATCCGCACCACATGGCTCACCACATGGCTCACCATGGCAGTAAGGTAAGTCGTACAACGGGTGCTTCAGAGAGGTGCTGTGCGGGTGAGGATGCTCACCACATGGCTCGCCATGGCAATACAGTAAGTCGTACAACGGGTCTAATGTGGGGGGCGAAGAGTCTAGATCGCCACGCGGCAAGTCTTAGAATCAAATGCTGCTTCTTTCAAGTCCGTTTCCACTGCTGCTTCTGACACACTCTCATCTGTGCTTGTGACTGTGCTGTGTCCGTTGCTGTGGTGCTGGTGCCTGCTGCACTGAGGACCAAGGGCACAGCAACAGTCATGCCAATGGGTGGTGCTTCTTAGAGAGATGCTGTGCGAGTTAGCGTCCTCACCACATGGCTTGCCATGGCAGTAAGGTAAGTCACAGGGCTGGTCTATTGGGGGGGCAGAAGTGTCTAGGTCGCCGTGCGGCAAGTGTTTTCGAAGCAGTTTCTGTTTCTTTCGAGTCTGTTTCCTTTGTTGCTTTTGACGCACTCTCGTCTATGCTTGTTTTTCTGCTGTGCTGGCTGCACTGGTTCGAGTGTTCTGTGTGTGGGATGGGCCAGGATAGGAGCGAATCAGGGTCAGGCGAACGACTTCCGAGCAGCAGCAGCAGAAGCAGCAGCAGCAGCAGCAGCAGCTTTTTCAAGGAGAAGGGGAGAGCGGAGAGGGGGGAGAGAAGCTGTGTTACTGTGCAGTACAGTAAGCTGTTGACCACATCTTTCGGGGGGTAAGAAGGGCTGACTAGATCGCCACGCGGCAAGTCTTAGGAATGATTTTTGTTTATTTCAAGTCTGTTTCCCCTGCTGCTTCTCACGCACTCTTCTCTGTGCTCGTTTCTGTGCTGTGTTCGCTGTTGTGGCGCCGGTGCCTGCTGTTCTGTGACCCAAGGCTTGGTGCAACAGCAGCAGTCATGCAAGGGGAGGTGCTGCTTCTCACAAAGATGTGCTCTGAGCGAGCATCCGCACCACATGGCTCACCACATGGCTCACCACATGGCTCACCACATGGCTCACCATGGCAGTAAGGTAAGTCGTACAACGGGTGCTTCAGAGAGGTGCTGTGCGGGTGAGGATGCTCACCACATGGCTCGCCATGGCAATACAGTAAGTCGTACAACGGGTCTAATGTGGGGGGCGAAGAGTCTAGATCGCCACGCGGCAAGTCTTAGAATCAAATGCTGCTTCTTTCAAGTCCGTTTCCGCTGCTGCTTCTGACACACTCTCATCTGTGCTTTTGTCTGTGCTGTGTCCGTTGCTGTGGTGCTGGTGCCTGCTGCACTGAGGACCAAGGGCACAGCAACAGTCATGCCAATGGGTGGTGCTTCTTAGAGAGATGCTGTGCGAGTTAGCGTCCTCACCACATGGCTTGCCATGGCAGTAAGGTAAGTCACAGGGCTGGTCTATTGGGGGGGCAGAAGTGTCTAGGTCGCCGTGTGGCAAAGTCTTAGAATCGATTTCTGTTTCATTTGAGTCAGTATCCGCTGCTACTCCTGACACACTATCCTCTCTGCTCGTCTCTGTGCTGTGTTCCCTGCTGTGGTGCCGGTGTGTGCCTCCTGCACTGAGGCCCAAGGCGTGGTGCAACAGCAGCAGTCATGCCAAGGGGAGGTGCTTCTCACAAAGATGTGCTGTGAGCGAGCATCCTCGTTTCACCCCATGGCTCGGAGCATGGCTCACCATGGCAGTATGGTAAGTCGTTGTGCTGGTCTACTGGGGGGTCAGAAGAGTCTAGGTCGCCCTGCGGCAAGTCTTAATATCGATTTCTGCTTCTTTCAATTCGTTTCAGCTGCTTCTTCTGACACACTCTCCTCTGTGCTCGTGTCTGTGCTGCTCATGTTTGCTGCTGTGGTGTTGGTGTGTGCCTCCTGCACTGTGGCCCAAGGACACTGCAGCAGTCGTGCCAAGGGGTGGTGCTGCTCAGAGAGGTGACGTGGACCACATGGCTCACCATGGCAGTAAGGTAAGTCGTTGGGCGAGTCTACAGGGGGGGCAGAAGAGTCTAGGTCGCCATGCGGCAAGCCTTAGAATCGAATTCTGTTTCTTTCGAGTCAGTTTCCGCTGCCGCTCCTGACACTCTCTCTTCTGCGCTAATCTCTGTGCTGTGTTGTGGTGCCGGTGCCCCCTGCACTGAGGTCCAAGGCCACACCAACATTCCTGCCAAGGGATGGTGCTTCTAAGAGAGGTGCTGTGGGCCGTGCGGCAGTACGGTAAGTCGTTCGGCTGGTCTATTGCGGGGGCAGAAGGGTCTAGTAGGTCGCCGTGCAGCAAGTCTCAGACCTCAAGTGAATTTCTTTCTCGGTCCGTCTCCTCTGATGCTTCTGACGCACTCTCCCATGTGCTTGCTCCTGTCTTGTGTGCGCTTCGTTGCTGCCAGGGTCAACACCTCCGGAGCGAGGAGATTTAGAGGGGCGTGAGCAGGCGTCATGTGATGCAAATAGGCTCACGTGGCTTGTGGACGCTAGGGGCTGGAGGAGGAGGGTGAGGGAGGGGCGGAGGGAGGTTGGGAGAAGGGCGGAGGGAGGATGGCGGAGGGGGAAACAGCAGTGGCATGGGCGCTGAGCGTCACTCATGGGTGCCCATGAGCACACACGCACACGTGGATTCATGTGGGGTCTCATTTGCAACAGGTGAGTTCATCCCTTTCCCATCTCTTCCCCTTCACACTTCCGCCTCTTGCACAGTTTGCTTCAGCCATGGATCTTGGCTTTTTTTAGCATCCGAGAACGTGCCCCTATGAACACACTCCCCTTGGCTCCCCTCTCCAGCTCTCCCCTTCTCTCCACTTCTCTCCCTTTTTCTCCTCCTCTCCCGTCTTTTAAGCAGCAGGCGTGGTTGTAGCAGCAGCATGTTTGCCCTTGCATATTTTGCCTCAGCCATTGCTCTTGGCTTGTTTGAGCATCCAAGAACGTGCCCCTCTGAATGTACTCCCCTTAGCTCCCCAGCTCTCCCCTTCTCTCCACTTCTCTCCCTTCTTCTCCTCATCTCCCCTTTTTCATGCAACAGGCGTGGTTGTAGCAGCAGCATCAATTTGAATGCATGGTTCTCTGAGGGGTTCAAGCCGAAATGGTAAAACGCATTCTTCTCCATTGCTTCTCTGGCTTTCTTCCTGCTTCTCTCTCTCTTGCTGTTGTTCGTTTGCTGTCTCTCTGCTTGTTGTACTGATTTGCAGTTTCTTCCCCTCCCCCTTCCTCCCCAACCTGCCTTTTGCCATTTCCCCTTGCTGCAGCTTTCTTCTCCAGCCGGACTGAAGCAGCGATGGCAGCCGAAACAACAACAGGCAGTGCAAGGAAGAGCAAGTGGGGTTTCAGGTGCAGCAGGTGAGTTCCATCCCTTCCCTATCACTTGTCCTTAGCACTCCCGCCTCTTGCAACTTCCGTTTCTATCCTCTCTCGTTGCAAGGGAGAGTATGTGGGGTTTCAGCTGCATCGGCACTTCTGTTGGTGTCCTCCATTGTTTTGGTCATACTTCGCTCGATTGTTTTCCTTCTGCCGTCGCTCTTCACTAGCTTAAGCTTCATACCCCCTTTTCTCCCCTTCTCCCACCCATCACGCAACAGGTGTGGTTGTGGCAACAGCATCAACGTGCTTGCAGTAGCACTAGAGGACAGGAGGGGAGGAGGGGAGGAGGCAGAAAGGGAGGGACGAGGGAAGAAAATAAGTGGTAAGAAGGGAAGCGGAGAAGGAGGGGAGGATGGGAAGGGGGGAGCGGGGAAGCATAGAAGGGAGGGTGAAACGATTGCTTGCTACGCTATGAGATGTCCTCTTTTGCCCCTCCCTGCTCCTCTCTGCTCCTCTATGCTCCTCTCTGCTCTATTGAGTCATGCTCCTGCCTTTATTTTCAGCTGGTTTCCCCTAGTTTCTCGTGCATGCCTCTTGCCCCTTGTTGTCTCCCCGGCAACAACCTTCCCCCTGAAATTCTAATCTCCTCCTGTGGTATTTGTCCACCCTGCGTCCCCATCTTCTCTTCACAGGTCACCCAGAGGCAACAACACCAGCAACAACCGCAATAGCAGTAGTAGCGAGGCATATTTAGCTACAGCTAGGACTTAACTTGATTAAGGATAAGGATGCATTGCTGAGCTATGGTAAGGTATCGTAAGGTCGTGCAGGTATAATGAAGTACGGTGAGGTACGGTCAGGTATGGTAAGGTACACCCACCACACAGCCAAACCGAGGCAGAAGAATCACCCAACAAAGGAAGCAGGTTTGCCTTGTTTAACACAGGTACCAGTACACACACCACCCCCCTGTCAAGAATAGAAGTGTTGGTTCATTGATGTGGGTTGGGGTACATATAACAAACCCTAACATCTGTACCCCTAAGACAAACCTCACTACAGGCTACAACATTTGACACACCCCCATAGCCTAAGTGAGGGGTGTCAAGCAAAACCAAAAGTGTACGGTCACAAAACTAGTCACAAAGAAACAAAGCTCAGGGTGGTTCACATCGTCACCACACACTCTGAGCACAAGCAATAGGGGATACAAGGCCAGTTCGAGAGTTCACAAGTGTGTATAGCAAAAGTACAAACAAATCAAACAGTAGACTCAAACCTATACACGACTAGAAACTGTGTCAACAATGCCTAACTGCACACAACACCTCTCGTGGTCACAAGGTGGAAGCGCCTTGGTGAAGATGTCTGCAGTGTTGGCCTCGGAATCCACAAACTCGAGGCGAGCTTGTACACGTCTCTGCAACTCTCGCAGAAGAAAATACCTGACGTTAATGTGCTTCACTCTGCTCTCCAGTCGCGGCTCTCGACAAAGGAGAATCGACGCGTTGTTGTCAGTGAACAAGGTCGGTGCAGAGCTCGGTCGCTCACCAAGGTCGGCGAGCAAGAAGGTCAACCAACGCAGCTCCTGTGCCGCCATGGCACCAGCGTAGTTCTCAGCCTCAGCTGTAGAGGTCGAGACCGAAGAGGAGCGTGTGGACCGCCACGAAACAGCTCCAGAGCCCAAGCTGAAACAGTACCCCTGAGTAGACCTGTGAGTCTCAGCGTCGTCAGCGTAAGAAGAGTCACGGTGACCAGTAAGTACGACAGGCTGCCGCCCTCCAAGAACTAGCCCCACGCCTGATGTCGTCGCTAGGTACTTCACCACCCTCACAGCTGCCGTCCAGTGAACAAGACGGTGTCTCCCTGGCGCAACAAAGTGAGCAAGGATGCTGAGAGGGAAGGCGAGGTCCGGGCGAGTGCAAGTCATCAGGTACATGAGGCAGCCCACCAGCTCTGCGTAGGGACCACTAGACTCAAACGGCTCGTCAGGAAAGGGTCCAGTAAGTCTGTGGTCAACAGCAAGAGGTGTGCGCTGTACTGTGGAGTGCTGAAGCTCGAACCGCTGAAGGACCTGCTGCACCATGTGTGACTGTGAGAGTGTAATGGTGCGAGCAGCTATGTCCCTGGTGATCTGCAGGCCAAGGTAGTGGCGCAGCTCACCAAGGTCAGTGCACGTGTGTCTCTTCTGCAGTTCGGACTTCACGTCTGCCAAGGCAACCCTGTCAGCAGTGGCGAAAACCAGGTCGTCGACGTAGACCAGAACAAAGAACGGTGTGGAGCCACGACGAACGAACAGCGACGGGTCGGCAGAAGACGGCTGGAACCCAAGGTCAGAGAGGGTAGAACGAAGAGTGTCGTGCCACTCACGAGGAGCCTGACGAAGACCGTAGACAGGTCGCCTCAGCCTCCACTGGGTCCCAGGAGGGAAAGTGTCAGTGAAGGCAGAGGGACGACGCAGCCAGACCTCCTCGTGTAAGCTACCCTGAAGGAAAGCAGTGGAGAAGTCGAGAGAGTGTAACTCGTAGTCTCTCTGTGCTGCTACGTGCAGTAACACCCGAAGAGTGGTCATCTTCGGGGTAGGCGCGAAGGTCTGAAAGATGTCAACTCCCTCGCGCTGACTGAAACCTCTAGCCACGTAGCGCGCCTTGAAGACCGGAGGAGATCCCGGTGGCCGCTTCACCCTGTAGATCCACATGCCATCGACTACGTTCGCCCTAGGAGGGGGAACCTCGTCGACGTAGGTGCCTGTGGATCTGTAGGAGGCCATCTCTGCGTCCATGGCAGCTCTCCACTGAGAGGCCCAAGGCCCTGACACTGCCTCAGCGTAAGTGCGAGGAGTCGGTATGTCAAGAGCGTCGGGGTCTCCCTCAGGGGCGAGCAGCATGGCACAGAGATGTGGGGAAGCGGCTGCCAGGAACTCTAGCTCAAACTGCCTGTCCTCTAGGGCGTCACAGCCAAGGGCAGACTCACCCCCGACGGCCAGAGGACTGGTAGGAGGAGCAGCCACAAGACCGGTGGCGTAGTCAAGGCGGCGAGTGGAGGCAAACTCAGTGACTGCGGCAGTAAGGGCGGAGACAGAGGAGACAGAGGCACGAGGGTCGGTAACAAGAGAGGCGAGAACACGAGAGAGAACAGGACGGTACGTGCGGTAGTAGTCAGTGACAGGAGTAGAGAGAGAAGCAGTGAAGGCCGACTCAGGAGGAGACGGAAGGAGAGACGGAGACGAACGAGGCGGACTAGAACGAAAGAGGGCAGTACGAAGGTCAGTAACGAGAACAGGAGACGAGGGACGAGCATGAGGGGAGCGACGAGAGGCCCAAGTCTGAGAAGGAGGGGACAACGGAGGCTGAGAACGAGGGAAAACAGCCGGGGAGGGGTCAGGAGGAGGAAGCGGAGGACCCGAGACGGGAGGAGAGGGGGAGGAGGAAGGAGAGCGGGAGGGGAGACCGAGGGCCCGAAGACCGGAGACAGGAGGAGGAGGCGGCGGCTGCTGCTGCTGCTGCGGCGACGGCGGCTGCTGCTGCTGCGGCGGCTGCTGCTGCTCCTCCTGCTGCTGCAGCGGCTCTAGCTGCTGCGCCTCCTGCTGCTGCGGCGGCTCCAGCTGCGGCTGCTGCAGCTGCTCCTGCTGCTGCTGCTGCTGCTCCTCCAGCCACCGCAACTCTCTCTCCTCTCTCTCCAACTCCAGCTGCTCCTCACGGGCACGGCGAACACGAGCCTGGTGCCGGGTCGGGTAGGGGTGGGGGGGAGGAGTAGTGTCGGGGGCTGCGGCAGCCCCGGGACCGCCCTCCAAAGCACCTGCCGCACCACCCCCAGAGTCAGCACCACCAACAGCAACACGACCAGGCTCACCAGGACCCGAAGAGGGTGCACCCGCACCCCCAGAGTCAGCAGGACCAACACCAGCTCCCGGAAGACAAGAGTCTCCTGCAACCACGCGCTCAGCTCCAACTCCAGCACCCCCAGAGCTAGCACCTGTAGGGCCCTCTCCACGAGCACCGGCTCCCGCAGGGTCTGCAGCAGGCTGCGAGGAGGACTGCGGGGAAGGAGGCTGCACCTGAGGGGCTACTGAGGGGGGAGGGGTAGCCTGGGACACACCTGACGGGGCAGGACCAGGGGGGGGAGGCTGTACCGGGGGAGCAGGAGGGGGAGCGGAAGTCAGGAAGAGAGGGGGAGGAGGAACCGGGAGACCTCGACTGGGGTACCTGACGTAGTAGGGGGTGGACTCCTCGAAACGGACGTCATGGGAGTCAAAGAACCGGTGAGAGGGAGGGTGGTAAAAGGTGAAGTCAGAGGGGTCCTCAGGGAAACCAAGGAAGACACAGGGAACGGCGCGAGGCGAGAGCTTGTCCGCGGAAGAGTCGCGGACAAGCGCCAAGCAACCTCAGACACAAAACCTCGACGCAACACCAGGGGACCCGGTCCAAAGACTGGTCGGTGAAGCCTCTGGCCGAGAGACGCGTGGCCAGAGGTTCAGCTGGTGAGCAGCGTACCTAACCGCGTAGGGCCACAGAAAATGGGGGGCACGGGCGTGAGTCAAGGAGGTGCGGACGATCTCCATGACCAAGCCTATGCGGCGCTCAGCAACCCCAATTCTGCTGTGGGGACTCTGGAAGCGTCCAGGACTGACGAATGCCCTGCTCGCGACAGAATCCAGCGAGAATGCCGGAGCGAAACTCACCCCCACGGTCAGAGTGAAGACAGCTGACACGACGACCACGAGTGCCCTCAGTGGTAAGCAACCACCTGATCAGCGTAGAGGTCACCTCGGACTTCTTCGCCAGGGGGAACACTGTGGTGTAGCGGGAGTAGTCGTCAACGACCACCAGAAAGAAACGCTCGCGCTCAGGGCCAAGGCGAGGGGCGGGGCCCCAGACGTCCAAGTGGAGCGTCTCAAAAGGCTCGGTGGTCGGACGAAGGGAGGAGGAGTGAGGGGTGGCACGCAGCCGACCCTCGACGCAGGGACCGCACGGCGGTGCAAGCGAAGGCGGCAGCGATGGCAAGACACGCGGGAGGCCTAAGACAAGGCGCTGACGAGACATAGCGCGCAGACGAGGGAGGGACGGGTGCCCCGTCCGGTGGTGCCACAGAACGGTGGGGTGTGCAAGCGACCGGCAGGAGCACGACGCGGCAACTGGACCAGACACAGGAACCTGACCAGACACAGCTACCTGGGGGGACGCAGCAACCTGGTGAGACGCAGGGACCAGACTGGGGGAAGTAACTGGGGCCAGGGGCAGGAGTCGCTGCTGCTGCTGCTGCCGCTGCTGCTGCTGCTGCTGCTGCTGCTGCTGCTGCCGCTGCCGCTGCTGCTGCCCACCAGGGCCAGTGTGAAGTGTGTAGAGACCACAGCCCGGCTCGGCAGTAAAGGTGGCAAGGGGCGAGTAAGTGTCGCCGTCAACACAAACCGCCGCCTCACCAGAGGGCTCAATCCACACACCCACGTGCTGACTCACAAGAGGCCTCACGCCCACCAAGTTCCTCGAGAACGAGGGGACGTGGAAGCCAGTCAGAGACCCAGAGGGAACAGCAGGGCACGGAAGAGTAGTAGTGTAGCGAGCAGTGACTGGTCCCGAGGTGGGATCAGCCAGCGCCACAGAGACTGGCGCAGGAAGTGGAGTAAGTGTCGTGTGGTCGCGGAAGAAGCAGTGCGAAGCCCCAGAGTCCAAAGTGAAAGACATCGAAGCGTCCTCCGAAGTAGCGCCTGGACTAGTGTCTACACAAGTGCCTACACTAGCAACAGGCAACTCAGCA